AGCTGTTACCTGGTCCCGAGTGGTACCACCGTGCCAGTGCTGGCATGCAGGAGTTCACGTCCCCTGATGAAGCTGTGTCTCCTGGGCCCCGCTGGTTTTCTCCCCCGGCAGCTCTGGTGCTCTCTGCCGAGGCCAGTGTGCCACCCTTCACCTGCCCCTTTGCCTTGTACCCTCCTCGGTGGCATTGCTGGACAGTGCCCTGCAGGTTCCTGTCCCTGCTCTTGCTCCTCTGTCCCATGACAGAGGCCACTGGGGCACAAAACCATTAGTGCGGCTCAGGGGTGTGCTGTGGTTGTCAGGTTTGTTTGTTTTGGCTTTTTTTTTTTTTTCTTTCTTTCTTTCTTTCCAGGAAGCACTTAATGTTCTTGTATTTCTGGCTCCGTTTGCCACTTGAGATTTGGCAAAGACGCCAGCTGAGAGTGGTTCCTAAATGTCAAACAGGACAAAATGTTTTGAAACCCCTTTAAACCGAGGCTGAAATGTCAGCGCTTTGTAGCTGGTGGCTTTCTAGGTCCTTGATGGCTCCTGGCATGTGCGGGCAGCAGCAGCCAGTACGCAGGCTGCAGCCATCCTGGGAGGCAGCATTGCTGCTGTGAAACACAGGCTGGTGTATCTTGGGAGCTGACCTCAGCGCTCCAGACACTTGAGCACCTGGGAGCCAAGGAGAAAGGTCTCCGCATGAGTCTCAGGTGCGAGTGAGGCCAGGTGCCCTTGAGGGGACGTGTGTTCCCAAGTGTTTGCCTTTTTATGAGCATCATGGCTGTGGGAAGAGCAGGAGAGCTGGACTGTAGGATGCCCAAAGGAGGAGATACTGGTGGAAGGGTGCTTTGAGAAGTTTTTCCCTACTAGCAGAGGTGGAGAATGGCACCTGTCTTTTGTACATGAGCGCAGGTAGGGCTTGCCCGTGGGGTGTTGGATGTGTGCACGTGTGCTCTGATCTGACCTCGCTGGGGCTCTGAGGGAGCTTGTGCAGGTCTCTGACCATGAGGTGCCCTCCCTGTGGGATGCTGACAGGCATCAGGAGTGGAAGGAAGCACCTCTGAGCACTGCTGTATGCTGTTGCAGAGGAGGAGGCTGCTCCCTGTGATGGTGGCTCTGAGCTGTTTGTGAGGACCCTTCATTTTGAGCACTTCTGCTCCTGACCTTTGCTGGCCGCTCTCACCAGTGCTTGGGTTTGGCAACTCCCCCTCCTTGTGCCCCATGCAGCAAAGCCTTGATATGCCTTACCTGAAAATACAAAAATTCCTGTGATGGCATTTCTCCAAGCTGGCTGCTGAAAGGGAAGTGCCAGGCCCATGTGGTGACTTTTACAAGCCTCCAAGCTTTCCCCATGTCTATGCTCCCCTCCACTTGCCTGGGCCTGCAGCACGTGTGTCCTGTGCAGGGAGATGTCTGCACTTTAACCCCATAGCTGCAAGGTGTGCACGGTCAGGGTGATAAAATGCCAGGCTGGAGGGGAAGGATGGAGCTGGGGGTAGTTTTTGCAGGTGGCTGGGCTGGAGCCTGTGGCCAAGCATCCCTGGGTTCTGCTGGTGGCCTGGCAGAGCCAGCCTGGCCCTGGGCAGGTGGGTTTGCGTACCACAGAAAGCAGGGCACACGCACGAGGCTTTATGTATGCTCAGGGGTTGCTTTTTGATGCAGCTTTCCTCTCCACCAGAGCCTTCTCTCCTTGCACTGTCACCTGGTGCCCAGAAATCAACAGCAGACCTGCTGTCTTGTTGGCTTTGCTGGGTATATTTGCAGCTGTGCCACACAAGCGCATGCTGGTGCTGGGGATACGCGGTGCAGGCAGGTGATCCCTGCCTGATCTTAATGGTCCGCAACCTGTATGCGCTTGGGTGTGCAGGGCCGTATCCTGCTTTGGGTGCCACGCTCGCCCCATGGTGCGGGGTCAGGCCCAGATCCAGGGGCAGCTGTACCCAGGGAAAGGCAGTGGGAGGGTGGAGCAGTGTTTTTATCGAGTTGCTGAGTGGGAATAGGAAGCGTCCTGCCTCTCCAGTGGCACTCACAGCAAGAGGCGCTGGGTCACCTGTTGCATATTTTTCAGTCTTGATAAGTGTGTCCTGAACATGCCCAGCACCTGGGTCCTGTGGGACTGCTAGGGAGGTGGGGATCAGCTGTGACCCTCCTCCCCGCTGTGCCATGGGCAGGCTTCCTGAGCAAGTTTCTATGACACACGAGATGTCCTTCTGGGATGCAGAGGCAAGGTGGCTGTGATGCAGGGAGCAAAGGCAGGAGCGCTGCTTGCTGGGGGTTATCTGCTGGTAATTGTCTCAGAGGCTGCTCCAGGGCGCAGGTGGGGTGGCAGCTGGGAGCATCCAATGCTCGCTCTTGGGGTAGCCTTGCCTCCCCTGCACTGGGCATGAGGTGGTGGATTTGCTTTTGGGGCTGGCTGCTCCTCTGCCCTGCACCCTCCCGCAGAGTGAGCACGGGTTGGTGGCTCCTTTGGAGACCCTTTGTAGGACATCATTGCATTTGCTCTCCGGGGGATAAAGCCAGAGCAGTCCCTGTGTCCTCCTTCAGTTTGCTGCATCCAGCCTGCCTTGTGTTTCTTGTCATGCCGGCGGGCTCTTCCCAGCCCCTCCAAGCAGCATGGCCACTCCAGCAAAATCTGGAAAGTCCCTTTCCATGCAGTGCCCCAGTCAAGGTGGGGGCATTTGAGAGCTCTGTCCTTGGGTAGCGTGCAGGGGATGCAGTTGCTGTCAGGATGGTGGCACCCAAAGATTGCCCTCCCGACATCCGCACTCTGATGCTAGGGGCAGCTTAAAGCTGCTTTTGCCCTTCGCTGCCTCTCCAGTCCGGGCAGTGTATCCTCCACACTGGACGTCTTGTGGAAAAGGATGTTGCAGGAAGGATGCAAGCCCATGTGGCAGGGAGCAGCAGTCCTCTTGGTGCAAGGTGTAGAGAGAGTCTGTGGCCCCAGCGGGGTTTGGGATGTCTTGGCTGGGGACAGGGGTTGTAGCACGCAGCTCAGCAGCTGCTGTTACCAGGGGAAATAGCCCTTCTGTACCAAAGAAGATTTACAGAGCAGCTGTACACACTTCTGATGGATGCTCCTTTGAGATATAAGAGCTCATGGGCATCCTCAAGCATCTGTGGCACAGCTCATTCTGCTGTGGTCCACCGTGGTGTTGGGCGAGAGGTGTGGAGCAAGATGAAGCCCACTTCCCTCTGCTGGGTGCAGGTCGGCAAGTGCAAAAGTGCTTCTTTGGGGTCAGAATTCACTTTCCTTATAAAATAAGCCTTGTCCTTGCCTGGCTGCTTCTGCATTTCCCTCTGCTAACAGGAAGGCAGGTGGGGGCAGTGGGTGCCCCTTGGCATGGGGCAGCTGGAGTCAGTGGGGGTCTGGTGACCTCCGCATTAAGTGGCTGACCCCACTTGGCATGTGGCACCTCTTTATGTCTTGTAGCAGGGGTAGGGGCTTCATGTGGAGTTCCTGTGTGCTGCTTGGTGTTTTTTGTGTGTTATTGTATTTTCTTTTTTTTTCAGTCTTTGAGTAAAAATGCATCTTTAGCAGCTGGGTGTGGAAGGGGCATGCCCAGGTGGGTCTGGCTGCAGAGTGAAGGGCTGGAGAGCCAGGAAATGCCAAGCTGCAGCTGCATAATCCCATAACCCCAGCCCCATGTGGATCTGCACCGAGAGTTGCCTCTCCCCTTGCACAGTGATGGTCTGGCTCTCAAATGCAGCCCACAGTGGATTTCTTAGCAGTGTGTTGTTCCTGCTGCCCCTGTGCAATGCAGCTCTGAGGGACAGGCAGCCACCTCCACAGTCCCCCACGCTGCTGGTGCTCCGCTCTGCAGCGAGCACTTGCCTCTGCTGCTGAGATGCTGTGCTCTGTCAAAAAAAAAAACAAAAAAAAAAAAAAAAACAAAAAACCCACATCTACACCACTGGGTTGTGAAGAAGGCTTTCTAGGCAAGTGTTAGAGATGAGACAGGTCCCCTCTTGCTGGGATGTGGGGATGTAGCTGCAGAGTGTGCCCAGAGGACAAAATCAGGGGTCCAGGTGAGAACTGCTGGGGTGGGCTGTGGTAGTACCGGCAGCTTCCCTGGTGCCGTGGTGCCACAGTTGCTTGCTGCCCAGCAAACCTTTCCCAGTCAGCCCTGGGTGAGCAGGGCCTGTGCCTCCACCCTCTGCTTGCTAGAGCGACCTTTACATGTCAGGCTGTCACGGCAGCAGGCGCCGGGGTGGTGGCTGCTCCTGTCCAGCCACCTTGCAGGGAAGTGGCAGCAGCAGCGGCTTCTGGAGAGTTCCCCAGCTCCTCTTGCGGGTCTCTGCCACCGGGATGTAGGAGCAAAAGGTGAATTTCTCCTCGCTCCCCTTACATGGATGGGGGCCGTGCTTTGCCTCCCCCTTCCCCACACCTGCTGGGGGGAAGGGCTCCGCTGCCGGCAGAGCGGTAGGTGGGGACCTCCTCCATGGCTGCAGTTGTGCCTTCCCCGCTCCAGACAGCGAGTGGTGGTCTCCTGGAGGGGCTCTTTCTCTGCATGTTTTGCACTGCTCTGTAGGTCAGCAGCATGCTGACCCCTGCCCAGCCATTCCCTTGCTGAGCTGCAGCTCAGTAGCAGTGGAGGTCTCAGCAGCCTCCCCCCACCCCAGCTGCCTGTGCCAGGGTTTGGGGAGGGTTTGGGAGCAGCCAGTGCCCTGCCTGGGCTCCTGATGCCCTGCCTGGGCTCCGGCAGGGTGCTGCAGCCTCTTCAGTTTCATCCTCTCTCATGTGAGGGAACAAACGGGCTCATGGGCAAGATGCCCCCCAGACAGGCTGTCATTACCTCCCTCAGCACTTACCAGTTGCACCATGCTCGGTGCAGGGGGGTGGCTGGGGGCAGCTCTTGCCTGCACTCACCATCTCTCTCTCCCTGCAGAGTACAGCCGCTTCGAGTCAAAGATCCACGACCTGAGGGAGCAGATGATGAACAGCAGCATGAGCTCCGGCTCTGGCTCGCTCCGGACAAGCGAGAAGAGATCTCTCTATGTCCGGTAAGGCTCAGACTTCCCTACCTGCCCCCTTGTTTCAGGCAGCTGGAGGTGTGTGGGGTGGGTATATCCCCACAGTGTGGGATGCAGGGTAAAACAGTTCAGCCTGGGGCATGCAGCACCTCTGTGGACGTGTGTTTCAGAGGCGAGGGAACTGAATGTGAGAGATCCATCGTGAAGCCTGAGGGTGCAGCAGGGACACTGGTGCTTTTTCACTGTTTTTTCCAGGGCTGGGTCCTCTGCACTTGAGTGCCTCTTTCAAGGGCTGCTCCGCTTTGGAAAGCTCTGGTGTCTCTACAGAGCCCTGGGTGGCTGCCAGCCAGGCCGACCCACTGGGGACCGCTGGGAAATGGGGAAATGATGGGCATCCAGTGCTGCTTCTGCTTGGGGCAGTGTTCAGGACACTATCCTCAAACCGCTCTCTGCTAACAGGCTTCTACCTGTCTTCTCCTGCCATTCCTGGGGCAAGATCTGGCTGGAGGGGAGATGAGCTCTTAGGAGGATTATTGCTCTGAGCCATAGATGCACTTTTGGTCCAGAGCCAGGAACAGGGCAGGCAGGGGTTAAGCAGCCATGCAGCTCTAACTGCTGCAAGACCTGTGTTGCTAGCACAGCCCCTGCTTGCTGCCTGCCTCCTGCCACCTCCTGCCTGCCACAGCGTGAGTGGGGTGACAGCTAATGAGTAATTTTAACTTGGTAATTAAAATAATCCTGTAAATCCTTGCCTTGCACAGCCTGTTGCAGGTGGGGGCTGGCAGGAGCAGGGGATGCTTCTACTTCCATGTGGGAAGGATGACAAGGGCCAAGGCTGCATCAGCCCCAGCCTGCATCTCCCGCTGCGTGGCTGCTCTATGCAGAGGGGCTTCAGGCTCTTGCTGGACGCAGTGCAAGCCTGGCCTGGCAGGAGGCGAGAGCTGCAGCTATGGGTTCTTGCAATTCATGCCTTCCCCTGAGGCTCTGCAGGGATCTTGCTTGATTTAGCACCCTCGGGCTCTGTGCTGGAGGTGTGCAATGAGCTGGGTGCCATGCTGAATAAACATCTTCTTGCTAGTCCTGCCCTTGCTCCCCTGCTGTCCCATGGACACCCTTGTGGGTAGACCAGGGTTTAGGATGGGTCCAGCTTGAGTTGAGCCTGTGAGTCTCCTGTTCCCTGCCTGGATAGGTGTTGCACATATCAGGGCATGCCTGTGAGCCAGAGCACTCCCCCCTGCCTCTAGGCTGCTTGTAGCATCTTGCATCTCTTGATGCATCCCCCCATGGGGCTTTGGTGGCCTCCACAGCACTGTGTCCCCTCACATACACCCAGGTGGCTTCAGATGGGAGCTGGGCAGCGCCTTGCTGAGAGGGTGATCCAAGGGGAGAGCTTTACCCCACCATGGCCCTTCCTGACCTTCCCTGGCTCTGGTGTCCATGCACCCCACAAACATGCTTGCGAGAGCTGCTGGGTACCCAAGCTGCCCCAGCCCTTCTGGGCGGGGTAGTTTCGAGCACAGTTTACCCGAAACCAGCTGAGCTGCTGCTCTGTGGACAGGACATCAATTACAGGACTTGCTACCCAACTGCTTGAGTCAGCTCTGTGAGGTTGCTGACCTTCCCTGGCTCTGGTGTCCATGCACCCCACAAACATGCTTGCGAGAGCTGCTGGGTACCCAAGCTGCCCCAGCCCTTCTGGGCGGGGTAGTTTCGAGCACAGTTTACCCGAAACCAGCTGAGCTGCTGCTCTGTGGACAGGACATCAATTACAGGACTTGCTACCCAACTGCTTGAGTCAGCTCTGTGAGGTTGTGTTGCACCCCGTGTGCTGTCAATGGGGCTGGAGCCGGGCACCTGAGTGCCTGCCGGAGCCAATTTGGAGGTGCTGGCACTCAACACGTGTTTCAGAGATGCAGCTACACAGCATGGGCAGGGGCGAGGCAGGCTTGCATGCTACTTGCCAGCTGTCTGTGCTGCCACAGGGCAAAGTCCACCGGCACTGGGGCCGTGCTGGGTGGGGATGGGGGTCATGTAGGCATTGTGCGTGGGCACTGGGAGGAGACCATGCTGAGTCCCTGGCACTGTTCCCCTGCTATCCAGCCAAACCATCTGCTCTTCTGGCTGCTCGTGCTGTGTGCCGCAAGCTGTCCTGGGGACAGAGCAGAGCAACCACACTATTGTCTGTCCCTGCACCCTGCATGCCCTGGGGAGCACCCAGCCACGGTGGGTCCTGGGTGCCGACACGGCCAGGGGCTGGTGTCCAGGAACATTGAGCCTTTGGGGGAAGCAAATGCCTCCTGCCTTTGTTTCGCAGGTGGCTGTCCCTTGCACAAATCTTGCTGTGCCTGCCCTTGGATGCCAGTGGCTGCTGTGGGAGGAGGCAGGGAGCTGCAGGGCCAGCACTGCTCTGCAGGGCAGGGTGCAGGATGTGGGCAGGGCACCCCACAGCGTGCCTCAGTTTGGGAACCGGCTTGACCAGTTCCCTGGAGCCTTGGCTCGTGCTTTGCTCCTGCCGGCCATGCGCGGCCTTATCTTTTGGCCAGGAGCTGCCTGCGAGGGTTGCTTACCTCTGGCCAAAGTGCCCTGTGGTGCTTTGCTGCCAGCTCCAGCATGTTGGGGGCAGCACTTGGGTACAGAGGAACCAAGCACAAGAGCTGCCCCCATGCAAGCCCTTTGCAAGACAGAGCCCTGAGCAGGCTGTGAAAGGAGGAGCGACCTGGTGGCTAGGTGTACCTGGATGTGTAGGACTGCAATTGTGTCTCATTCCAAAGAGCCCTTCCCGAGCCATGGAGCAGCCCTTCTCCTCCTCTCCATTCAAGACTGGCTGCCTTGAGCCAGTCCCAAGTGACCTGAAAGGTTTCATTGCCTAGCACTCCCCTGGTGGTTCTGGAGCAGGGATCTGGCTAAAGAAGTGCCCTCCGAGCTCTGCTGCTCTATGGGGACCTGCAGCATGGTCTCTGCGCCCTCACACGTGCACTGTGTGCTTTCAGACACCCCTTAGGTGTCCCTGCAGCAGAAGAGGGTAATGAGCAGGGCAGAGGGTGTCCCTCCTGGTTGAGGAAGGCTCGTTGGTGCCAGGATTGGACCAGCAACCAGCCAGTGTTTGCGGTGGCTGGGCTTGTGTTGGGCTGTGTGGCGAGCGGGGCCAAGGTCCCAGGGGCAAACACAGGGCTTGTGCTGCCAGCAGTGGTGCTTTTAGTGACTGTTCCCTTGGTTTGTTTTTTTGCAAAGTGGATGTATCAAAGCAGACGCATTTTGAGATCTGACATTAGTAGAACGAGTTGTACATCAAGCTACCGAGAGCAGCTTGTGGGTATGGGCTGCAGTGCTGTGTACAATAAAGCGTGTGCAGGAAGGGTGCTCCCCTAGTTTAAGAAGAAAATCTTTTCTGTAGCTGGTTAGTTTAATGTTTAAGATAATTTTAAACTAAATAAAATGTTCTCAGGGGACCTATTTAGGAGTCTGAAAAGGATCAGTTGTGAAAGCAGATATCTATACCCTCAGATGCATTCCTAATTCACAGGCTCTGCACTAACGTAAATAAGGTGCATGGTCTCTGCCTGTGTCACTGGCTGCCAGCAGTGGGGTCTTGCATTCCCCATCCTTCTCCTTGGCCCTGCAGCCCGTGGGGAGCAACCCCGCACCCCAGGTCCCTGCTGCCCTCCTGCACGCTGCTGCTTTCTTGAGGCAGTGTGAGCTTCGCTTGCTTGGTAACCACAGCTGCCTTCAATGCGTCTGTGGTTTGTGCGTCTCTCACAGCCCAGGTCAAGAGCAAGTTGATTTAGTTATTTCTGCATTGCACGGTTTGGGGCTTGTGCTGAGCCTGCCAGGGGGATGTGTGTGTGTGACAGTGGCTGTGCGGCACTGCTTGACTCAGCAGGAGGCTTCCTCAAAGTTTGGGTTTAAATCCTTTAAGGATTTGTACCCATAAGGTATGAAGGTGGCAGTGCCCCAGGAGGTGAGCAGTGCTGCTGCCCCCAGTGCCTAGCCATGCTCAGGGAAAGCCATCGCTCCTCTCTCTGCTTCTCTGCAGAGCCCTATTTGACTATGACCGGACCCGGGACAGTTGCTTGCCTAGCCAGGGGCTCAGCTTCTCCTATGGGGACATCCTGCATGTCATCAATGCCTCTGACGATGAGTGGTGGCAAGCCAGGCTCGTCACGCCCCACGGTGAGAGTGAGCAGATTGGGGTCATCCCCAGCAAGAAGAGGTGAGTGTCCGTCAGCAGAAGCTGTCACGTGTGGAGCATCCTGGAATTCCCTAGCTTCCATGAGCCCTACAGCCCTCAGAGGTCTGCCCAGGGTGGGTTCTTCTTGTGGTCCCAGACCCCCTGCCCCCCCCGTGGCTGTGCAGTGTGAAGGGCACCCCAGTGGAAAGCTGGGGTTGCATGCAGGCCTCGCTGGGGAGCTGTTCCCCAAAGCTGGGTGAGACTACAGGTGAGGAGGGGAGCACTCTGCCCTCTGTGTGGTCCCTGTGGGGATGTAGAGCTGGTGTTAGCCAGTCTGGGGCTCCAAGTGAGAGCAGAGTCACAGCAGTGACTTCAGGCTGCTCCTTGTATGCTGTGACAACCCACCCAGCTCTGCAAGCCAGGTCCCATGAGATGGGAAGTCATGGGGAACAGAATAGCTGTCTGCCACTGCTTTCAGGTCTGCAGAGCCAGCCCCATCTCTGTTCTCCCTCCCTCCGCTCCCGGGAAGGCTGGCTTGTTCCCTCTCCTGCTGCTGCAGACTGTGGCCTTGGCCAGACCCCGGACAGGCAGCTCCACCTCCATCCTTCTCTGGGAAGGAGCTGCCCTTCGCCTACGGGGCTACCTTCCGAGGGTGTGCGGAGCTGCCTGGTGAGCCAAGTGGGTGGCACAGAGGGCACACTGCACAGGACTGGTGGCTCTTTCTCCCGTTTAACTTCTGATCAGGGTGGAAAAGAAGGAGAGAGCACGATTGAAAACGGTGAAGTTCCACGCCAGGACTGGCATGATTGAGTCCAACAGGGTAAGTGCTGAGCTGGTGCTCAGCGGGGCACCCAGAGCTGGTAGCTAGCAGGGGAAGGATGAGTCCCAGCAGCCAGAGCTCCTGGTGGGGCAGCTGGAGCAATTCCAAAGCAAAGAGCAGCATGACTGGACCTGCCCCAGGCCCACATCTGCTCAGCATGAATCCTCCATGCAGAGGGTGAGCAGAAGAGCCCAGGATGGTGCAAAGGCGCTAGGGAAGGACCTCTGGTTGTAGTGGTGGGGGAGCAGAGCCCATCTCACTGTGGTCCATGTCTGGGAGCTGACTCCAGGCAGCTCATGGAGGTGAAGGTACCTGCTGTCACCCCTCGCGTGGAGCACTTAGCAAGCAGACAAGGAAGGGAGAACAGCCTGGCTACCCCTGCAGAGCTGCTGATTGCCCTGTCAGCTTCCCAGCATCCCTACCATGTGTTTTTCTCCATACTTAATTTTTTTCCTACATTACAGTTTTCATGTAATCTCCATTATTTCATTTGAGGATAACTACCCTGACACAGCTCCTCATTGTCTCTTCATTTTAATTTTTCCCACATGCGTTAAACACCATTGTTTTTTCTGTCCTCCCTTCCATCTCCATGTTCTTCAGTCGATCAAAACGAAACGTAAAAAGAGTTTCCGCCTCTCTCGAAAGTTTCCATTTTACAAGAGCAAAGAGAACCTGGCCCAGGAGAGCAGCGGACAGGAACGTAAGTAGCAGCTGGCCAGAGGGCAAGCGTGTGACCCTCAGGTCCCCTGCCTTGGGGGAAGAGATTTGGCACGTTTCCATAGCCAGGGGTTCTGGCATCTGCCCATGTTTGGGTCTGTGCTCCACAGTCGTGCCAGCAGCTAGGGAGAAACCAGAGCTTGAAACAAAGGCAACAGCTGTGGGCTGATGCTCTCTTTCTCTGATGTTCAATGTCTTCATCCTTTCATCCAACTTTACACCTTCCTGACCCCCTGCTCTGCCTCCTCCTGTTCTCCCTTCTCTGCTGCGGGCTCTGCTCCCTCCTTCTGCCTGCCAAGGGCTGCTTCCCTCCAGGTGAGGGACTGGCCACCTCCTGCAGAGCTTCCCCTGTCCCCATCAGGGCTGAGGGGCTGGGGAGGGTCCTGGCTGTGCTCTCCATCTTCCCTAGAAGTGAGTTGCAGTTATGTATTCCCATATTCACTGGTGGAGGAGCTGCCCACCCGCAACTGAGGTGCATCTTTGGCTGGAGACACTGGGGGGTCCCCAGCTCTCAGCTCACAGCACCCTGTGGCTCCCAGCAAAGGCAGGGCATTCAGCTTGTTGCTCCAAATCCAGACATGGGCAGCACTGGAGCTGCTTGCTGAATGCAGCCCCTCCTCCTTCTGGAGGCTAAACTGCATCCACTCCTTCAGCAAGCATTCAGACAGAGCTGCAGTCCTTGCACCTCGTGGAAGAGGAGCTGGGCAAGGCAGAGCAATGTCTGTGCCCCAGTGCCAGCACAGTGAGCCCATTTCCTCCCCTCTGGTGGCTCTCCTGGGCATGATGCAGAGGCAGGAGGGTGATGCTGGGCTTCTCTGGGGGCTGCTGTCCGTGCCACGCTGGCACCAGCTTCTGGTGAGCTGGAGCCTCTGGCCTGCAGTGAAGGTTAAGTCTGTGTGTCTTGAGTATCTCTCGTAGTGCCTAGACGAGGCTGGGCTCCATGCTGGAGCTGGGGGCTCGCTGGGGCGTTGCTCTCAGTCAGCCCTGCAGCGCAGTGATGTAGGACGTGGGGATGGGACAGGCAGTGCTTTTCACCAGGCTGTGCCACAGACCCGCAGCCAGCTCCTTCCTGTGCTCTGCCACTGTTCCTCCCAGCTTGCAGTGGGGGGTCCTTCCCCTGTGCTTCCACAGCCCCTGCAAGCACTGGGGCATGGGCAGCTAACATACACAGGTGGGGAAAAGCGTGGCCGCGTCTGTTAGAGGACTGGTTGTGGTGTGTCTGCCCCCAGAGCAGCCACGCTGTCCAAGTGAGTGCAGAGCTGCTGCACCCTGCCACTACACCCACGAGGCATCACAGAGAAACACCTTGGCCCTGCTTGCTACAAGGTCAGGGCTGCAGCCGCTGCCAGCAGATGCTGCTGTGGCCGCCCTGCCCTCCCTAGACCCAGGGTCGCCCTTGGGGGCAGAGAAGGATGAGCTTGGTGGGGGGGGGGGGGGGTCCAGCCACATAGGGCAAGATGTTGGCAGCAGGCTGATTGCATCAGCTCTGAAAACATTTAACCTCACTTGCAGTTGCAGCTCTGGGCCATTCTGCACTCCTGTCACTAATGCTGGTCTGGCTCTGTCTCCCCCATCCCTCTGACTGCCCTCTCCCACGCTCTCTTCTCTCCCCCTCTCCCCTTTCTTGCTGTCTGTGAAATCAGGACTTCCCTGGGTTAAGTGACGATTATTATGGAGCAAAGAACCTGAGTAAGTTGAATTCCGATGCACATTGTTCACTTTCTGTCGCTGGCATGCCTGGTGGTGCCTGGGGAATGGCCGGGCTCTGGCCAGGGCAGCTGTGCTTCTCTGGGTGCAGGGAAGGAGAAGCTCTGCGGGCGCTGCCCCTCTGCCAGGGAAGGCCGCATCTGCCGGCGGAGGCTGCTGGGCTTGATGAGGTGCCGCTTCTGTATGCGGGAGGGGATGGGGGAGTTTGCTTGGGGATGTTGACTGTGCCCTAAGAGTACCCAGCTGAAGGCTGCCCATCGCACCCAGGGTGAGCTGTACCTCGTCATCCTCCTCTTTCTCCTGCTTCTAGCTGGACTGGCTGTTTTGGAGACTTGGAGCCACTGCCAGTGTGGGTGGGAGGTGGCCATGACCATGACAGGTCCCCTCTGAGTGGGGCGGGTGACAGCGTTTTGAAGTGTTACTACCTTCCTCTGGGGCACCACATACCCAGACCTGAAAAACAACAGTGGTGGGAGCTCCTCAGCTGGGCATGAGTCCCCTGCCAAGCTCCACACCTCCCTAACCAGTGCAGAGCCTGAGCAGG